AAGTGTGATCACCCAAATAAAATCAGCAGTATATTTTTATAATAAGATTACCAACCATACATTTTTGTTGTGAAATTGGCAGCAACATATACCCACAATACATTTTATCATCTAAAATTACAGGGTGTGTTGAGTAAATTGTCGACATGTTTTATTTTAATTTTGCGCATGCGCTTTGTTTTTTATTTTTATTTTGCCGACGATAGAGTACAGTAGGACAGTTGGGCACAACCTGTGAGAAAAGGAGCACCATGAGGAAAATCGCTCCGCTAGAAATTTGGAAACTGAATGCTGTGCTGCTTGGCATTTGCCCCGAAAGTTTCAATACGAAAATGTGGGTGTCAACAAATGACAGGGCGAAGAATTCGGAAGACGATGGATGAGTCAAATTGCGATTACGAAGGTTCAGCATCTCGGAAAACTCTTTTGGTCATTCTCATAAGAAAAGAACTCCCGCATTTGTTGACTCAACACAGAGGCCTACATCAAGTGGCTTGAGGGGGTGGTACTGCTCTGGGTCAAGAGTGTGGCTACTGGAAGACCCTATGTCTAGAAACAGGGCTCTTCACCATACCACCCAAGCGGGAGAAACAGGTCATGGCTGCCGGACAATGTCTGCGGTCACATCACCGCTTACAACTGGCCACCCAACTCTCCAGATTGCAACCCATCTATTATTATGAGTGGGACGCATTTGGGCGAGAGACCAACACAATTCCTTGCAACCCCAAAAGATGAACCCAGGGCAAGGATTATGACAGCATTCACCAGCTTAATCAAGGCGACCGTCCAGAAGAGTTGCAAGAAATTCAGAAGTCGTCTAGTGGGTTTGGTTGAAGCCAAATGGCAACTTTATTGTATTTTGTATTTTAAGATAATTTTTGTGTAATTTTGGTAAAAATATCTGTTAAAATTAGATGTCAGTATTATTTTCATTTTTGCGTAATGTAGATGACACTTTATCCATCGCACCCTGTATATCTAAAACAAAAATGCCTTTACTCTGAAGCTATAAAATAATGTACAAAATATCTGTAGTTAAAAGCATATAATATCGTACTGAATATTTAGACTACAGCCATAAGAAAGCAAATCAACACATACAGGGGTTGATAAGCCACGAAACAAAACCAAATAAAATATGAAAATAATAAGAAACAGAAAAGAGTTCTAAAATGGTATGTGACATTGTTGTTTTTTTTACATAATGAATGCTGGACAATCTTATCGCAGATGAGAAAGTGACTTCAGGAAACAGAAAAGTGGTTCTACAGTGTGATTTTGAGAATACCATGGACTGAACATGTGAGCAACAACAAAGTTTTGTGTAAATTCGAGACAACAAATAGACTTTAACTTAGCATCAAAAGAGACATTGGAAATTCCTAGGGCACATAAAGGACAGAGGGCTTAGAGAATTTAGCACTCACAGAACATATTGACTGCAAAAAGGACAAAAAGAAAAGCAGCGAATATCTTGCTTGTGTAAATCATTAGTGGAATAGAGATTTTTAGTGATATTATATAAATATATTGAAGTTTTCTACAATTTTTACCACAAATATATAAATATACGTTGTTGAAACAATGACAGACCGTTATCTAAATTTAAACTATTTATAGACGGACACGCGTCCTCAACTTCGTCGTTGTTATTAAAACGTTTCTGTAGTTGTGCCATCTTCATCAAGTGTATACCGACCGGTTAACCTACTGGGAATTTCGAACTGAATACTTTATTTAATCTTCGTGGGTAGACTGTTTTCGTTTAACTGTCTATCTCTAGGGATATTGCATCTAGTTCTTTGTAGGGCTCAGTTATCGCTCGTCCTGTTTCTACCCACTGCCCGGCCCAGGGATTGGTCTCACAATTACTAGTTCTCCAAATTCACGAACCAACACTTAGATCCACTCGGGTATTGTCCTGTGGGACAATTGTCTGTGGAGAACTTGGGGCCTTAAATCTGATCTCTCTGCTTATGCTTGCCGCTGTGCTTATTATAATTGTCTTCATTCACTGAAGCGTTTCTAGTTTTGTTACAGCTGCTACCTCTACTGTTAAAGAAGTCATGTGATTTGTCTTTGTTTCTTTCGGGGCTTCCACATCGTATTTATTTCTACGCTAGGCCTACTGAGTGATCATCATAGCCTAGCATATGCACTGATACTTTCCGGTGTGTAACTCTCCGGTGTTTTTCACAACCGCAAAGAATGGAATACAATCCTTCTTCCTCCGTTCAAGGCTTTACTTGGAAGTGATTTCTCCGTAAAGTGGAACTGCTTTTATTATTATCATAATTTTCTATTGGGTGCAAATCTTCTGAAACTTTTCTTATAAACTCTTATCTTAAGGCAGACAGACAGACCGGAATAATTTTTAACTGTCTCCACCTGCAACAGCTGATGTTAGGTTTGTAGGATAGTTGTTATTCTGTACACTTGCTGCTGAAAACTTCTTAGTGATATGTATCTGGGTTGCCTCTTATGATTCATTAATATATGTTAAAAGATGCTACACGTGTTTTGGTTTCATTTTACGTTGGGAGATTCAGTAATAGAAATAAATCAAATATGTCATACTGTTTAGAAAATAGTGATAAAAACTGAAGCGAAAAGAAAAACACATGTTTTAATAAATCTCATTTTTAAACCGCATCAAATTTAATGATTTTTACATGCAGATTTTAAACTAAAATGTGATAACAATCATATATTATTTTTATCTGTCTGCATTTTAGTCTCTGGCTGGAGAAATCATCATATATTAGTTCTGGGTCACTTCGACGTAGTGTAATGGTAAGGAATCTTGTCTTGCTAGATCAATTACAACTGAATATTGACTTCGATCCCAACTGTGTGGCCCATACTTTTGGCCTTGTGACACGTCTAAACAACGTGTATTAATTCTTTCAAGATGCTTTCTTTGTTCGTTTTTCTTTTTAAAAATGCTACAGCCACTTCAGTCTCAGACCTTCTTAACAACTGTACTTGGTAACCTTCCAGATATATCGAGCAGTATTCATGTTTCATCCACTTCGTATGCAAGTAAAAACGCCATTGCAACTGGGAAAACAAAGCGACGGAAATTGATCCGAACGAATCACTTTATACAATGTATAACCGTAAGTTTTTCCCTGTTCGGTACTGGTTTAGTTTTGGTAGTCATATGTATTTTAGGTTCTTTCTTGACATTGGTTGTGACCTTTCATTGCATGTGACTGAAATTTAAATCAATTTTAACTCATTACCTATTCATACTGAGCAGTCCAAGAAAGCAATGAAAAATAAAAGAGAAAATAAGAAATAATGAAATTAAAAGATGACAGGATTCAACCGAGGTTTGGGATTGTACAATGACAAATACAATGGATATCTCTATGCCACGGAATAAAGTAGAATCACTTTCTGCTTTATCTTTCGATTTCCCTTCTATCATTGACTTTGAATTCTTTTGTCTTGCTTTATTTTCATTTGTAAATATTTCTCATCCCGCCATTTTGTGTGCTTTCTTTCAACATTTTAGCTTAATTATCTTTCATTCTTTTCCATTCTTTCTTCTGCATAACATTTCAGTATCTCTCATTCCCTTCCTCCTCCTCCTCCTCCTCCTTTTTCTTCTTCTTCTTTTTCTTCTTCTTCTTCTTCTTCTTCTTCTTCTTCTTCTTCTTCTTCTTCTTTTTCTTCTTCTTCTTCATCTTCTTCTTCTTCTACATACATTATTCACTTCATTCATTCATTTACATTTTAATATTCCTATTAATTAATCCATATAATCTGTATCCCTTCCTCTTTTCTCTTTTTTCCTTCTTCTTCTTCTTCTTCTTCTTCTTCTTCATCTTCTTCTTCTTCTTCTTTTCTTTTCCTTCTTCTTCTTCTTCTTCTTCTTCTTTTCCTTCTTCTTCTTCTTCTTCTTCTTCTTCTTCTTCTTCTACATACATTATTCACTTCATTCATTCATTTACATTTTAATATTCCTATTTATTAATCCATATAATCTGTATCCCTTCCTCTTTTCCCTTTTTTTCCTTCTTCTTCTTCTTCTTCTTCTTCTTTTCCTTCTTCTTTTTCTTTTTCTTCTTCTTCTTTAAATTCACCCCTCCATTCTTATATTTCGATATATAATTTTATTCATAGTTCTTACATTTTCTTCATAGTATTTCTTCTTTTTTCTCTTTTTTTTTTTCAATCTCAAATTCATTTTCTTCTTCTTCTTCGTTTTCTTTTTACTTTCCTTCTTACTTTGTTTAATTTTAACCCCCCTTCTTCTCTTTGTACTTCTTTAGTTTTCTCGATTTTCTCTTTCTATATGTATTGATTCATTTATTTTTCTTTTTGTTAATTCCCCATTTTTCATTCACCCTCTCATTCATTCTTTGTTGTTTTAATATACTCTTTTTACAATTTAAATTTAGTGCATTCATTCATTTTTATCAATCGATATATTCTTTTGGTATACTCTCTTTTGCATTAATTCCTTGAGATTTTCAGTTTCGGGAATTCATTCATTAATACATTCTTCTTCTTCCTTATATTTTTCTCCATTCTTGTCTTTATTGATTCATGTAGGTTTATTCTTATTATTCTACGTCTTCTTCCTCTTCATCTTCTTTTTCTTCTACTTCTTCTTCTTCTTCTTCTTATTATTATTATTGTTGTTGTTTGTTGTTGTTGTTGTTGCTGTTATTATTTAGATCTTTGCTTCATTCCAATTTTTCATTAATTCATTTTCTTTCTTTTTGTATTCTACCAAGCATCTTCATTTTGTTGATTCATTAATCTTTATCTTTATATTCTTTAACCGTTGTTTTCTATTTCTTCATTCTTTCATTCACTTATTTTTTCTTCGTCGTCGGCATTGTTTATTCTTCTTCTTTGTTAATTGTAATTGCTTCTCCATTGCTCTTTCTGAACATTCATTCAATAATTCATTCTTCATTTTTTTTTCTATTTTTCACCATAGTTCTCTTTGCTCATTCATGTATGCTTTCATTCTTTGTTAAATGAATTTTTGCCCTCCTCTCCAAGTGTGTTCTTCTTTTGAATATTTCTTCTTTTTTGTTCGTCCATTCCTTCCTCTTATCTTTCCTTCCTTCCTTCCTTCCTTCCTTCCTTCCTTCCTTCCTTCCTTCCCTTTTCCGTTTTCTTCCTCCCTCCCTTCTTTCTTCCTTCGTTTTTTCCCTTCCTTCCTTCCTTTCCTTCGGTCGTTTTTTCCTTCCTTCCTTCCTTCATTCCTTCCTTCCTTCCTTCCTTCCTTCGTTTTTTTTTCCTCCTTGCTTCTTTCCTGCGATCGTTCTTTTCTCCTTCCTTCTTTCGGTCGTTTTTCGTCCTTCCTTCATTTTTTTCCTCTGCTTCCTTCCACCCTTCCTTTCTTCGTCGTTATTCCTCCTTCCTTCCTTCCTTCCTTCCTTCCTTCCTTCCTTCCTTCCTTCATCCTTCATTCCTTCATTCATTCACCCAGTTATTCATTGGTACAATCATTAGTGCAGTTGTTCAGGCCTCTTCTTTATAATTTTACTCGTTTTTGCTTTCCTTTTATTTTCTTAACATATTCTAATATTTTTCCTTTACATCACATAATTGTTTTCATTTTTCTTCATACAACTTTCTTTTGTTTTCTTTATATTTACTTTTTTTGATAAAACTTTAACTCTCATTTCTTTTCTTCTTTTTAATTTTTTATTTCCTATTATTTTGACATTGTTCGCAGTTGTGTTTATATTCTTCTCATTTACCGGCTTCACTTTACTCTTCCTTTTATTCTTTATTCCTTTCTTCTCTTTATGTTTTACACAATTTCCAGTTCCCTTTTTACATCTATTTTTTGACTCTTTTTTTTTTGCTTTTTCAGCTTCTTTCTTCTTCTTCTTCCGCCATTGTCCAATCATGTCCACGTATTTATTTTTGACGTCATTTAATGCCAATTGTTCCCTTTACATAAAGATCTTCGTTTTCTTTTCAGACGCCGCGTCTCTTCCTGGCTGCTCATTTATTTTTTCTGTTCAGTGATCGTTTCTATTTCGTAACTAAGCAGGACGTAGAGAAGGTGAACATTCAATAATTGATTCCAACCTCTGTTTCTAAGATTGAATTTCGTTAATTAGATTATTTAATTAACAGAAATTGTTGAACAGAAAACAGAAAACCAGTTAACATATTGGCCAACGTATTAATCAGCAAATAAAGTACAAAAATTCATAGACATTCTTTTAGAGATTAATGTTTTCGTCAATCTCTGTCTTCTTACTTTCAAGAAAAGACCAGCCAAGCTTGAATCTTGCAGACGAACTATACATATAATTTTTTTACTACTTACATCTATTCTTTGTTCTTAGAATCTAGTTTAAAAAGTTGAATCAATAAATATATTAATGCGAACTGATGCTAAGTGTGCCTACTCGGGCTAACGTTCTCAGCTGATATAAAATGGAAAGACTATATTGCATCTATTGCTAGGTCAGCTGCTAAGAAAGTCGGTTCACTGTGTCATGCTAGACAACTGTTCTCTCCGGAATCTATCTACATATCTACATCTCTGCCATTCGTCCATGCTTAGAATATTGCTGCAATATATGGTACAGTTCCGCTGCTGTATACCTGGCACTCCTTGAAAACATCCAAAGAAGAATCAGCAATATTATTGGTCCTTATCTGGCGGCTCGGATTCAAACATTTACTTACCGTTTTTAACGTTGCCTCTCTGTGTCTTTTTTATAAATACTTTCATAGTAATTGTTCGGACACGCCCTTCACTATGGCATCTAAACTTCTTTGAATTTAAGCGCAGTAGTAGACTGCCGTAAAGATCTCATCAAGTTAGAGTTGAGCGTTCTAGATGTAGCCGTAAGTTCTATGCTAACAGTTTCTTTACTAGAAATTCTCGCTTGTGGTTCTCTTTTCCGTTTCCATAATTTCCAGCCAACATTAATCTGAAAAGAATATATCTACTGCCTTCTGATTACTATTTTCTCTTCCCACTTACCGTTTCTGTTCCGAATTCTTCCACCCCCTGTAACTCCGTGTATCGTAGTAGCTTCACTACCTTGCTTGGCGTGATACCGATTAAAAAATTCTGCAATTTGAAAATTTAATAAATATGATTCAAATCATATATTAATAATGAAAAAAACAAAAACAAACCTCTCTATCACTTAATTATATTTGCTGATAAATTTACCTTATAATTTGCCTTTATCCAATCAGCTTTTGAGTTTCGAGCATATGCTTTCGTATCGCAAGATATTGATAAGAATTTCGGAATCTTTTAGCCAAGCTAACTGGAACATAACAGAAAGAAAGCAGCTGGAGCAGAAATCCTGGCAACCTTAGATGAGTTCAGCATTGAACAGATTGCAGAGTTAATAAACGAAATAAACAACAGTGATGACAGACCGGAAGCCTAAGTAGATGCATTTTCATAGCACTTCCTCGGAAGACAGGTGCAAATAAATGTGAACGACAATAAGCCTAACGAGCCATATAACAAAACGTATCGTACGAATTCTGATGAATAGAGCAGGATGTATAATTACACCGAGTTAGAACAAGAGCAGTTGGTATTCATTAAGACAAACGAACAACGTATACAATATTTATTACCAGAATAACAACAGAAATCGCAATAAATGGAAAAAAGTTTTATCTATCTATCTATCTATCTATCTATCTATCTATCTATCTATCTATCTATAA